GCTCTAACTTTTCACATTTCAGTGTTGTGAATTATTGATATTTCCTCTCCAGCCATTCCATCACTTTCCTTTCTGGCCGCAACAGATTTAATCTACCTTTCAGCCGACTTTAAAAATGTGGAAAGGTCTTGCTGTTGAGTCTTTGGAACCAAGTTAAAAAATATCTTCATAAATTCTCCTACAGTTACAATGAATTATAAAAGCCTCAAAAATGTATCAATTCATTTCCTCATGCAAGACTGCAAGGATGAAGCAACGTTTGAAGTGAAAGGCAAGTCTTGTTGGTTCCTGAATTTCAGGCATCAACAGCAATGTCAGCAGCATGAAGGTTTCTGGTACTGAAGCAGTTCAAGTCAAGAATTTAAACACAAAAATTTAGTACAGCTGACAACGACAGATGGACAGCAAGAGCCAGAGCAATCTTAATCAGAAGAAACATGCTGCGAATGCTCGAGTACATGAACACATGCCAAAGTCCAAAACAAGTGTCACAGAGGCAAATGAAAGGGAAAAAAAAAAAAAAAACATTTTACCAAAAGCTCAAACAACAGTGCTGACAGCAAAATCTGCAAATACACAAACTGTGGGAAACCAAAAGACAAAGAAAACACGTCTCCTGAGCTGGAACATATGTAAACAGAACCTGAATACTTAATAGAGAAATAATTCCTGATGGATAGAACGCTTTGCTAAAGTAGCTGCTGGATTAGCTGAGTTAGTTGTGCAGCTAGCAGTACTGTTATCTAGAGCCAGAGCTTAACAACAGGCAAGGCAGGCAGTTGCTTGGAACCCCAGTCCACTAGGGGGCCCCCAAGGGCTGACGAACCTTACTCCAATATTGCAACAAACAACGAGTGGTCAAACTGAAATATCTAACGGATACTTCCTGAAAGGGGCCCCATGTCATCCCCGCCGCACTTTTATGTGACTTTCGTCTATCTTTACTGCAGTGTGTCAATCAAAGTGATGTCAAAATCAGCTGTGAAGTGGAGCTACTTATCAGGGAGTGAGAAAAGAAAAAGAAGTAAAGAGAAAGGAATGAGGAGAAAGCAAGACAGTGTAGCAGACAGCGAAGTGCGGCAAACACTTGAACTAGCATTAGGTGTGAGGCTGGCTGTTAATTGTTTAGTAGTAAGTTAGCCATGTTAGCGGAGCGGGAGATGTTAGTCCAGGGTTCCCGCTTTGTTGACTTGCTGTTACTGTGTGTTGACCCACCCACACTGTCCTGCGAGGTTAGCCGACAGAGAGAAAATTACGAAAATAAAATCTTAGAACAAGGGTGAGGTGCTGGTTATTGGGGTAAAAACATACCAGAGCTGTAGCTTTTAGAGCAATATTTCCAAGTTATGTAGTAGTAATGATAATTGTTTTTTTACAGTTTCTGTTTCTGACCTCTTTTGTTTGTTTCAGATAATTTCTATGTTTAACGCTTGTCCGAGGGGCCCCTTTAGAACTTTAGCTTGGAGCCCCAGCACACTCTAGAATCGGCTCTGCTGTTATCTACCAGGTGTCAGGCTTTAAGTGCAGGGCTGGATTGGTGTTTATTTCCCTAACAGCCTCAGGAGCTTCAGACCCCTGGAAACTGAACTGATAGGTGGGGGGGCATAATGCATGGCTTGGGAAAGTTGGACAACAGGGGTTACATTGACAACTAGTCCATCCTGGACTCTGACACAAGGAATGAAGTATGCATTGAGGAGATGGAGGAGGAGGAGTGAGATGGAAGTCAGGCACGGTTGTCTTTCCATTTCCAGAGACCTGAGCTAAGTTTTAGCACGAGCAGCTTTGGGAAACTTTTAGCCAAACCCTGCCAGGATTCAACGGCACTTCATTGCAGCTTCCCATCAGCGGCACAGCTGGATACGAAAACAGTTTCAATTTGCTGAAATTTTTTGTGTTTTAGACTTGCTCATGTAAAATTTGCATCGTTTGAGAATTCAAAGCACTTTCTGCTCAGATCGACTGCCCTGTTGACCCCAGTAGATGGCTCCTCATATTTCCTCAGTTCTCTCAAATTAGTCAATAGAGAAAAAGTCATTGGTTAAACTCCAGCTTCTGTTACTCAAGAATGTAGTTAAATTCGGGTGATGCCAATGCTCTGATCTCATGTGAATTGAGGATATTTCAGGATTTAGGTAAACCCAAGTGAAATGATGGGTGATTAGAGCCAGTGTTTTGCCACTGAAAAGGAAACTTTCAACAAAACATGACAAAATTTAGAGATTAGTATTGTTAAGAGGATCAGTACTATCCTGGATACTTTTGGTATTTAAAAGATGTGGCTTAAAATAATATACTCCTGATTCTTTTTTAATCCAAAAGTACTGGAGAATCTTGGGTCCTTTGGGTAAAAAAGAAATAGAGCTACAATCAGATTTTCAACCAGAAGCTGCCTCAGGCAAAAGACAAAAGCAGCAACAGCTGAGTGTAAAACAGGGAAAGGAAAAGAGAGCACTGCTGATGAAAACAAATCAAAACTTAGAAACTGTTTTTTTCAGGTATAACACTAAAGAACTGTACACAACGCAGTTGAACTCTGCAGGAAGGAGCAGGAGTTTGTTTTTCTGCAGCACGAGCCAGCGTGACATCCTCTCAGCTGTGAGCATTTCCATGCTGTCCTTTGTCAAACCTGCAGTCCTTAAGCAACTAAAAACACAAAAGACAGTCTTCAATCAGAGCAGGTACAAACACCAAATCAGTCATTTATTGGATTAGGAACATCATTAATATGAGTCTGTACATATGTTAGGAGAATAATCCTCGTATGTGAGACTTAATTACTATTAAAAGGACATTGAGTTGGTAAGTTTTCAGAGCCTGTCATCAGTTTGTGTCTAAGAAAGTAATTTAAAGAAAAGAAACAAGCTCATCCTTGTTTCCTAGTTTTTCCTTTTTTCTTTGATTTCCAAAAGGGTATTGATATAGTTTAATTTTATCTGCGACTGTGTCAAAGTTCAGGATTCTGATGTGGCGACAATAGGGTGACCGTATGTCCTCTTTTACCTGGACGTGTCCTCTTTTGCAGGGCCGTCCGACCTGTCAGGGGGGAGTTTATAAAAGCCTTCAAATGTCCGGGGTTTTGTATGGAAGACAGTTTCCGCAAATGAAAAAAAAGGGATGAGATAAAATGTCGTCTCTTGTCGATGAGAAACCTGGAACATGTATTTATTAATTGTAAAACAGTGCAGTGCATCAGTGCTCTCTACTGCTCCGTTTTGTTCTAATCAAAGCCGCTAAGGCGACGCACTAATGTACTGTCTTTATGAATTTAGAATATGTGTTTAACTGAGTTAGAAGTAAGTAAAAAACAATTGACCCGACCCGTAAAACCCTAAAAATTTTGCATGCACACAACTCTGCCCCACTTAGTAGTGGCCTCTTTTTGGGGATTCAGAATACGGTCACCCTAAAGGTAATAATAATCTTAGAGATGGTCTTGCTTGTCTTGTCTCATGTTCTGGAAGCCTGAAACATTTTACACTGATTTGAGTCGAGCAAAATATCGTTGTGATCTATTTCCACTATTTCAAAAAAGCCAAAATTGGCAGCACAAATCTAACAAAACTTATGGAGAGAAAACTGAGGCATCTGTAGTGTCTAGAAACATTTCATTGCAATGCTGTCATGGTGTAATAATGAAGACTCTTCTAATGTGTTGGAAATCTGGTGACTCCAGGTTGTTCCATCAAAAGAGAGATCTGATCACAGATGATAGATGCTTGTACACCACAGATTGGTTGACACAAAACTTGGTTACTGAATTAGTTGTTCTTAGATGCTGATGAATCAAGATGTTGGAGAGCTGTATGACAGTGTAAGTTTGCCTGATGTCTGCTGTCGTCTTCGCTCTGAATCCAAATGAAAGACAAATCAATACCAGAATTGGAGTCAAGGAAAAGATTGTGCAGAAAAGGCTGGCTATAGACTCACATCACCCAGAGAGGATTGCAAAATCCAATTACTTTGGTTAACAAGCTGACCTTCGCACATATAATGCCACAGTGTCCCCTGGCTTATTTTCTTGGCAGAGCGTAAGCACTCAAGGGCCTCAACAAAACTCTAAATATTGCAGTGATTGCACTCAAAAGTAATGTCCATTGAGTAGCTTTGAGCAAGAACAGAGCAAGTGGCTGATAAAACAGGCCGGTGAAGAACTGAGGAGTCAGAAAAGGAAAATACTGAAAGTGTTAGGTGTTTGATGTGTATTGGTTTTTCTACAAGAGCCCCCTCACTGACTTGAATATTCATAACTGAATGTCATTACTGAGTTTTTTTTTTTCGTCCTTCAAGACAGTACACTCAGAGCCAGAAAAGGAAATGTGCTGAATTAGAAGATTTTCAAGCATCATGGGGAGCATATGCGTGGGAAAGTCTCCCAGCATGCATTGAGGCATATTACTCATCAGCATTAACCTGATTTCTTTCTGCCAAGGTTACTACAACAGTTTGTTTACATTTGATAATAATTTTAAAAATCATCAAAATTCATAACAACCTTACCAGTGTATTTTTATTATTAAAGGAAACCGTTGAAATATATATATATTTTTTAACTGTTTCTACCTGCTCTTATACTACATTATTAATGGGTATTATTATTATTGTTTTTATTTAGTTATTTTTCTTTTATTCAGTACAAACAGTGTAGGTCATATGAGTAAGCTGGCACAAAAGATACCTGTGAGAAATGAACAAGCATTTAATATAACAGACCTGGGGCCTCATGTATCAACACTTGCGTGGAACTCATACCAGAAACGAGCGCACGCAAGGTCCGTCACGCTGAAAAAAATCCTTATGTATCAATGTGTGCGGGCGCCGAAATCCACGTGTGTTTCCTTGATAAATCCCAATCAGCGTGGAATTGAGCGCAGATGTCGGAGTGACTGGGCCCGTCCCCGTTACGCCCTCCTATAAATATGCAGATTTATTTAAATAGTGTCCTCGCACGCAGACAAAATGACAAGAAAAACTACATTTACGGCGTGCGAGGTGGGTGCGTGCTGGTGGCGGAGGTGGAGGAGCGACAGCGTGTTTTGTTTGGCAGCCTGTCCAGTGGCGTCAGTGCAAAACAAAAACGCTTGGAGTGGGAGAAAGTTTGCGAGAGGGTGAATGCGGTGGGTTCCGAGACACGCACCCCCGCGGAGATTAAAAAAAGTGGTCGGACCTCAAGGTGGAGGTCAAGCGGCGTACAGCTGCCCTCCGGAGGAGTACCGGCCAGACAGGTGGGGGTCCGGGGGAGGACACCCTCACGCCGTTTGAGCAGCGGGTGGTGGCGATTATTATTATTGGGTAAGTGGCGTGTCACACAAATGTCCACATGCTTTGTCATCCCACTGAGCAAAAGACGTATATTAGACGTCTAGTCTAAGTTTATACTTCATTTCAACGTCGGGATTCTGTCTATTTTTAGACGTGATTTATACTTCGCCCTTAACTTCATTTTTCGATAACTTTTTATGCAATAAACAACTGTAATGTGCATAACTGACCTCGAAATACTGGATTACATTACCTATGCTACCGTGGAGAGAGATGTAAACGCAACAGATACACAGAAGCAGGAATTGAAATGAACTAATATTTTTATTGTGTCACAGAAATTAATGTGTCGGCCGTGTCGCCGGCTTGCGGAACCCCGGCCCGCGGCAGCCCGTCCGCCGGCTCGGAGTCGTCGGCCAGGACCAGCGGCATTCGGGCCACCCCGGCCCCAGCACCAGCATCAGCACCAGTGCGCCGACAAGCGGTGGAGCGTCCACCAGCCGTGGCGCTTCCGCTGGACCACCCGGACGCAGTGGAAGGGTCCTCGCGGAGGGGGTCCTGCAATCGCAGGAAGAAATCATCAGGGGGATCGCGGGGATCAACGAGCGGCTGGACCGGCTCGTAAATTTCCTCGAGCGTCTGGTGGAGAAAATAAATTAATTTGGCTCATTGAACTGTGTATTCACTTCTTACCCATTCACACTGTGGCGATGAGATTCTCCCGCGCGAGGACGGCGGCCCGGCAGGGATCAGCTCGCATCCCTCCGTCTGCTGCTGGTTCGTCATGTGGGGCGACGTGCTGCCCGGCCACGGGGATGTGGTGCACGCTTGTCACATAGTGAGTCACCAAACACCGCCACACAGCGTCGCCAAAGTGCGAATCACAGTCAACGCAAATATCCAGCTCAACGCCAATTTCTACACCACCTCCTGACTTTGCGTTGATTAGCGCTGGAACCGACGCTCGTTTCGCGATGATAAATCTGGACGTGTGCGCCGATTTTGGCGTACGCAAGGTTTTCTTGCGCCGCAAGCGTTGATACATGAGGCCCCTGATCTCAGAACAGCAAGCCATTAGAATACCAACAAAAAGGAAACATAAGTGTATTTAATTGCAGTAAAAATGTACTGAAGATTCGTGAAGCATACTTTTGAAAGTTAATAAATCCGAAAAGACATAAGTCAATCCCATCATGTCAACAGTCTTTCTCAAATCCTGCTATCAAATATGTCCAGATGTCCCCCACACCTTGCAAATAAAATTAGTTTAGATGACTGCAGCATCACAGCAAGACAAACACACCCACACCTATCAACCTGATGTGTTCACATAAGCCCAACCCAAATGCATTAGAGTTTGCATTAACAGTTGTGTATGGGCCAGACATTTAATGATTCCTGCTGCTTCATAGAGAGACGGAGCTATGATTGGGTGAAAACAGACTTCTCAGTGTAATTTCAGCGAAGAGGAGTTAAAATCCAGTCAAGGTTCTCACCAGTGTTGCCAGTTTGGGCGGTTTCCTGTCCATCTTGGCAGTTTGAGGTTGGCAGCAGAGTCCAGTATCTTAAGCATTTAGCAGGAGAAAGCATTTCCTGCCTGTTGGGAGGACAATGCCAAAAGTGCATGAGGGCATGTGAATTTTTTTTTTCTAAGTGATGCAAATGTACGTGATAGCTTAGTTATAGCAGATCTTTAATAATATTAAGCATTGTGATGCTATTGGAGTCCTTTTCAGACCTTAGTTGGCATTGTCTAATGTTTCTTCTTTTTAACATACTTATGCACAACCACACAATAAATGCAGTGGCTTTAACAGCTTAATACCTATTAAGGTACACCAACCTATCTTCTCCCCTGTGCCTATTGAAAAGGTTTTTAAATGACTGTTTCATTAACAGAATAAAGTTTATCCTTTAGAGTGGATTTATGGATCAGTTTGGACCTAGAAACAAACAAAGATTGTTTTTTTGTGCATATACATTGAGTATGCATGTATGCTTTTACTGATTTACGCTATTTTGACACTTAAATATTCAGTGTACTACTACCAGAAACTTAAGTTAAACCTACTAGTAATGAAATGTCAATTTTATCAGTCACTGCTTGGTTACTGTGGCAACAAAAAGCCAACTTCTGGGTAGATTTCTTATTTTAAATTTACAATTAGCAGGCACTGCTGGAAAAGGCAAATATCACAGACTGTATATATTCTATGGACAACTTGGCTCCGCCTTCCGTCATTGTACAAATTTGAAGCCGAGTTGCTCTCGGTATTTCCGGGATTTTTGCCACCTACTGGAACCACCACTTGCACAGTAGCATTGCACTTATTCGGTGGGGGAGTTGCTGAGAGTCGCTGTGATGACGCTCAGCTGAAAAAGTGTGACCCTGCATGAATTACACAATCTTCGTAAGCCCATAGACTGTATCAAGTGTCAATCATAGAAAACATCAACCCCCTAATAACTTTTAAAAAATTGAGCTGTACAGAAAAAAGAGGACTTGAGCACAAACCAGTCTTACAGTAACTACATGTCAACATCGCAACCAGGGGGGAGAAAATTTTGTATTCTGTGTAATTAGATTCTAAAGTTTGTCCACAGCTCCATAGGGATTGCTGGAGGAGGTGGGATATAGGACCTATACTGAAGCCCATGAGGAGGCAGACAGCGTCCACTCTATAAACAGTCTATGGCAAACACCAACATTTACTAATTGTAGTAACATTGTGATAATGTATGTAAGGACAGTCATGATGGAAAATGGATTGTCCTAAAATAGTATTTGAACCTGAAACAGAATATTAATGTTGAATTACCATGAATAATCATAAATGTATGATTATGTCTGAATATTGTCTTTTTTAATGGTTTCATCATTAGTCATTTTGAGAGTGCAGGTGAGTCTGGTTAACTGTGGAGCTCACAGTCCACAAGATTGGACTAATAGACTAAAGACAAAATAGAGACACAGCCACCTGATTTCTATACATTTTATGTCAGTAACAGACACACATTTACCTTTTGTATCTATATGACATTCTAAAAGGACTTCTCAGCTCTCTGCAGTATGAATAAGAACAGTTAAAGGTATAAGTGGCTGTGTCAGAGTGCATCTTTCCTGCATGTTTGTGTGGAGATGAAGAAGCACATCACAGCCGTGCACTGGCATCAATGTGTGTAGCTGACAGACAGAAAATAAGGTCCTGGTTTTCTGTCCCATCGCTTGTTGTCATCCTTGGCTCTTGTTCTCTTTATTTCCTCTCTCCCGTTGATTGCCCACTATCGCTCCCACTCTATCATTCATGACACTTTGCAACTCCACATGTCATAAAATGATAAAACATATCAAAACTTTTGACAACCTTTCTCCCCAGAAGACAACATCATCCCCTTAAGTATAGCCCTGCCTGTAAATCAAAAGATGTAATAACATCCTGACAATCTTCACAGTACTGTTTAACCAAACAGAGAAGGATAAAACACACAATGTGTTACTCTTTTCAAACCCAATTTATTACCACAGATTTAAATCTGTGTTCATGTCTCTACTTAAGTGTGTGAGCTTCAATGACTTGTTATGGATGTGGTGCCCACGTGTTAGTTTGGCATGCGATCTATGCAGAGTATGAGTAAACAAAAGAGGGCTTTTATTTTTGAGCGATAGTGTATGTGACAGCCTCAGAAACAGTCTCATTCCCTCTCATGTGGAGCCAACACTGTGTGCTTCCAAAGGTACACACATTAGCATAACTGGGTAATTTACACCACCAAAAGGGAAAAAATAAATAAAAGGGCAAAAACCTATCAGCCAAGAGAATAATGCTTCAGCTCCAGCAATAAATTTGCAAGCCGGTGGGAGGCTGTGCCAAAAGTACTCTTTGGATAAACAACATGGATTATTGGGCATCTCAGGGTGATGAGTTGCTGAAAGCACCACAAATTCCCCCCCTTTAAAACACTGCCCAAGTTTCCCGTCCCTAATAGAAATAAGATGTATATTAGCTGAGCCTGCCCAGGGCAAGGTTAGCTCTCAGAGAGGCCTCGTAATTGCTGACTGGGAATTTAATGTATTTTAAGTTAAGTAACAAGGAATAAAAATACTTGCTTTTGTGGTGAGCTAAAATGGGTTCGCGGCAATCTGTTGGAAAAGCAGTTAGTGTTCACTTTGCAACTGAGGAAAAGCTGTTGGGGTCTGTTGATGCAGATCTTACATTACATAACATGACAGCATGTTGTTTAATTAGTGCATCTTATGATTTTGTAATGTGGTATAACGCTGCGTTGTCTTTTTGTACAAATATTAATATTAGCTGGAGGGATTCAGCCAAAAAGTGCAGAAAAATACGTCAAAGCTAACCAAGACACCTAGGAATAGGAGACGTATTAATGAAACAGTGAAATGTAGATACTCCATACATCCATTAGCTTCATATTTGGATGACAATAGAAGCTTTACTTCAGCGTTAATGTTCATACAAATATGTCTCACACCATTATTCAGAAATGTGGGAAACATCTGCTGTCCTGCAGAAAACAGTGAATTCTTACATGCAGCCAAGTCTCAGAAGTAAAAGTTAACCAAATGATGTGTGGACCTGTGTGATGATTAAAATTTAGCTGACTCAGAGGAAGTGCAGTAGAAAAGAAAAGAACTCTGAATATGACAACCCTGTGGCTAAAGACTTGTCTGTGAATGGTGGATGGTAGACTTGAAGGAGATTTGCAGGAAGAATTGAATTTACGGGACGCATCATCAGTAGTGCTCCCCTGGCTCATGGGGTGTTTCGGCTTTGACACTATACACCCTCACCAGAGGCGGCCAGCTGTAGGGTGATCAGACCTCAGCTTGCGTCCCGAGTCCAATTAGCCGTGAGAGTTGCCTTGTTGACAAGTGGCGGACATCTCAGGGGACTATGCATGGCAGGGACATCCGGTTCCCTGAGTCAAGCCTAAGCCGATGCATACCTCCTGGCTCACTACTTGGGGGCCCAACTGGTGTCCTTCCTCTTCAGTCATAGCCACTGGCTGCTTCTTTCTGCTGTCTCTGATGCAGCTTTGATGACTGTGCACAGTTTCTAGCCCTTAACCCCCAAGTCCCTCAACAGTTTTGTGGTGGATGTTCCCACAAACCCTCTGCACCCAAACTCCACTGGGCGGACTTCCGCGTTCCAGCCATGATGTTTTGCTTCTGCGGCTAACTCGGCATACCGTAGATGTTTCCGCTCATACGCCTCCTCCATGGAATCCTCCCAGGGTACAGCAAGTTCGATTATGTAGACCTTCTTCATGGAGGGAGACCAGAGCACCACATCAGGCCTCAAGGTGGTGGTGGCAATCTCTGGGGGGAACACCAGCTGCTTTCCAATGTCTGCCAGCATCTTCCAGTCACATGCTAGGCACAGCTGGCTTCTCTCTAAAGGTGTAGAACTGCTCCTGGTAGCTGCAGCCCCTTCATGGACAAAGGCAGTTGCCCATGATGTTGTTGAGGCGTTAGATGTTGGCAGTGGTAGGGCATTGATGCTTGTACGTTTCTCCTCCAATGTGGCAGCAGGGCTCTTCAAGACCTGGTTGTGGCGCCAATTGTATCATCCTTGCGCAAGGCTGGTTTTACACCCGGTGAGTATGTGCTGGAGAGTGGCTGGCTTGGAGCACAGGACACACCAAGGATCTTCGCCAAACCACTGGTGGAGATTAGTTGGTGTTGGAAGGACGCCGTAGGTGGCTCTGATAGCAAAGCTAATTTTGTCTGGCACAAGCTACTCTGATGTATTTTTCCGGGTGATATAAAAATCCTGTTTTAGGCGTCCATCTTGGTTTTCCGACTTGTTTACTGGAAAGCCGTCAGCTCAGGTGTAACGTCATTCCCAACTCCGACATCTGACTTCCGAGGTTACTGGAACGCAGCCACTGTCCAAATGACACTCTATCTGAATGAATTTAAAAAAAAAAGCACAGTTTTGATGTCATATCCTGCCTCTCAAGACTCATCCCCTGTCCCTCCCTCCTTAGTCAGTAGGGAAGACTTAACACTGTAAGAGACACATACGAACAAGGATTTGTAGAAATTTAGAGGGAAAAGCTCTTAAATTTCTGGAGTGCATATGTGAAAGAGGCGTCATGCCTTTGCAGGCTGCATACATCACTTCTAGTTTTTATTCAAGGTCATCTTTGACAAATTAATTGATGTTGGATTTGCATTGGAAAATCAGAGCAATAGCCCGATGCTGAAACTGTGACTGTAAAGGGAGTCACATCATCGCAATGGCCCAGTTGCCAGTATACATCGGCACGATTCATCCTCAGAGCAACCACCAAAGAATAAAATGTACTAGCATGCCAAGCATAAATGATCCAAAGAGGGCTTTGACCAGTCTGCCTTCGACAGCAGTTGTATACTTCCCTCAGTACACGACAACACAGTGACAGATGCTGACAGGATAGACAAGCTGTTACAACTTTGACAGGCTGCGCTCGACTTGTCGGTTTTCACTCGCAGCTCCTGAAAGCCTGAATGACTCAGAGTATCAGCAAGATATCCCCTGATGGCATTTGACTGTTATCTTATTGACTAAATGTATAGAATTTTTAATCAATAAAGTTATATCACAGAGTTCAGAGAGTTACAGCAACACAGGGCACATTTAGCAGCTTAGCATCACAACCTTGAAATATTAAGCTGGAAAATAAATTCACAATTTCTTCACATCCCATATGTAAGTGAATTAAAAGAGCTCCACTCAGCTGTATACACATAAAGTCTGCTACTAATGGGCTTATCTAATAAATTGCTGTTGTATTCGCATATATTAGGTGCCTGACTTCTATATCAATATTGTGTGGAGGTGCATGGGTAAATCTCAGGGATTTATTGGACACAGTATTTTACTCAGCATTATTTGAATCCTTGTTCTTAACCCTGCATCACTGGCATCCCCCAGGACCACTTACACCCATTATACCAAAAGCTTGGTTTCATCAAATGCATAAATCGGGTTCACTTTACTTTGAAATAAATACTTCAAGGATTCTAAGAGTCTATTATATCAAACTGGTATAATTAAGATGAAAACACGCCCTAATCAGAGCAAAAAAGTGATCACATGAAAGGAACTGAGGCCTCAGACATCCCCACTGTCATCCACCTGTATGTGTGTCTATCACTGCAGCTCCCAGGGCAGCTGCTTACATGGTGCGTGTTCCATCTGCCAATGAACACATCCATTTTCCCTGATAGACAGATGTGCAGCGCAAAGCCTCAGCACCTCTGGGTACCTTTGGGAGGGCAGCACGGTAAAAGGTGCCAGGGAGCAGACAGCTGTCAGACTCCAGCAATGCATCCAAAGTAACCTCCCTGTCAATGGGAAGGACGATTCAGCAAGCAAGTGCAGTTGTCAGATGCAACAGAAATATGACCAGCCTTACCTTGTGTGTTTATGTGCTATGTACACAAACTGCACAAATAATGGACTGGCCAACATGATAATTGAGTCTAGACTGCATGTATTAAGACCACTCAGCATTTGGCTATCACCATGATGGTTCCCTGTAGCCAGGAGTTTCCATCTTTGGAGGAGAGGGTGAAGTATGAGAGGAACAGCAACAGCCAAGTTTAGAAAGCCTAACAGTCCACACCTGTGGCTAATTCATTGGCTGCATAATGAGCTAGTTTACCTTATTATTTCCCCAAAATGAGTCTATATCTGTGGGGTTGGCTAACGACAGTTTAATTATCAGACTTACTGAATTAAGACATTATGAAACACCCCCGGCTTGCTGCTTCACATATTACGCCATTCAGTTGACACTGATACCATAATTATATCAACAATTACCTGTAATTTGACATCTGCACCACACACAATAATGCAACTTAAAACCTCTTTAAAACATCAAGACAATTAATGGAAAAGAAATGCTGATAATTCTCACTAAATTAAATGGCATTTAACCATTCACATTTAGTCACAGGCTGCAGATCAAACAATCTTTTCAGGCTTCATGTCCTAAGATTGAGGCCGGGGCTTGTATAAGGCCTCTCTCTCATCATGCTATTTCTGTCCCTTGGCTTTTCACACACACACACACACACACACACACACACACACACACACACACACACACACACACACACACACACACATACAAACACCCGCCTCCTCCTGCTCCTCTCCCTGCTCTCCTCTCTCCACCTGTAGGCTGCCTGACAGTTTTTACCACTGTTGCACAATGAAACGAAAGCAACACAACAGGAAGCTAAGTGTCATTCTTGGGCTGTAAAGTCCTTGTCGACTGGTTGACTTAGCGGTCGATACATGCTGAGTCAACCTAAATTCTGATTGGTCAACTTGATTATTTTTGTCAACTTACAGTATATGGTTAATTTCATCAGGGGGAACGTACCAAGTGCTAATGGGGGTGTTTTCAGAGCTGCCCCATTTCACAGGTAACGGCCTGTCTCAGAACACCCCCCTTGTTTTTACCATATTGGATTCGCCCGGCCCAGTGGAGACCAGCTGGAGACAGGAAGATTGAAGAGCATCCACCTTAATAAACATCTGGTTGTTTGCAGAATCTGCCTTCTTGTGCTGATAGCGGTATATTTTCACCCCACCTCACCATGCTCTGCTGAGCCACGTCTTCCCTCACTGCAGAAGGGTTTGCTAAGAGTCGGAAGCCCCCCCACTGATTAGTCAATTATTGGTCAAGAATTTCAGGGTTATAGTTGACTGAGAATTTCTTTGGTTGATTACAGCCCTATATCATTCGGTCTGAGTTGTCATATTATGATTGAGGTGAATCAAAATCCTGGACAAAATAAGAAACCAATAAATTTCTGTTCTACCCAAAAGTGAATAAAATGTAGTAGTTTGTAGAAATAACTTAAGCCAAGACTCACTGGATAGCCAATGCAACTCACAGACAGCACAAAACTTTACACTCATCCAAATTGTGTTTCAAAAATCCTAAAATTCCCAAAATGCACCAAAAAGGAAAGGAAATCAGCTTAACAGATAAAAAGACTTGTTGTTACACGAGGCCGTAAACATGTTTATTCCTACTTAAGTGTTGCTGTGCAGCATTCCCAGCTGTTTATAAGACAGAAACGCTGGAGACTGCTGGGGCATTCAGACTGTGCATGTAAACAATTTGGCAGCAAGGTTTTTGTAGCTATTTCACAACATTTCCGCTATTTACATATTTAAATCAAAGAGAGACAGGTTTTGATATTGCATGCAGTTTTCTTCAATCTGTCACAAAGTAATGGCACATACATGCAAATGGGCCCTTATTTGTATATATAGTTGCATTTCCAATCATTAAAAGTCTAAAGGTTGTGAGGTAAAACATTAAAATTAAGAGTCTACAATTTTGCCATAATAAAAAGGAAACAAGAAACATGTTAGTTTTTTTTTTTCCTTAACAAGCTGTAAGTGAGCAGTGTTATTAATATGTAAATGCACCCTCAATTACAGATATAATTACATACAAATGTAAGTCTAAGGAGTGTGTAAAGACAATTGAGTGTTTACATAGCTCTCCCATATGGAGAATTTGATTGAAATACAGTGAGGCTTTAATATGACAGATATTAACTTAGATTATCTCACAAAGTTTTCATCCCAGATAATTGATTATGTATATGAGAGTCATGAAGAAATTGCCAGGTCATACAATGCATATGTAATGTATGGCTGCTCTGCTTCCCCCAGTAAAAGCCATATCACCATGCTGTAATATACTAGAAGTCAATACAATTCAATGGTGCAACATCTTAGGTTGTGAATAAATCAGTAGTCAGCAGTCAAGTCCAGCCAAGGATCGCAGAGGCAGGCTTTATGGCAGCTGAAAAAGCTGGAGGCAACACTCTGCTGATGGGAGGAAGATGAAAAAGAGGCTCCCTCTCATCATGCCTTCATCACCACGGCACCAGAGGATGCCGAGAGAGGCAGAGAATTATGGCAGTGAGAGGGAGAGTAAATCTTCAAGGCCTGTCCTCGCTCATGCTCCCAGGCTTGACCATTAATTTCTATCACCCCAGGAGTATGCGGCTTGTGCACATCTGTGTGCATGTCTGTGGGAGCAGAAGCAGTGTGGCGGTGCAGTGTGTTAAAGCTGAGAGAGGCAGCGAATGAGGGATGAGATGCTTTTCCAAGATGAAAAGGATAAACACCTTTTTATCCTGCTGACACAGACAGAAGCCAAATTTTGCCATCAGTTGAAGTTTGCTTTTGTGATTATTCATTCGACTGAAATGTGGCAGGAAGTGTTTCTTCATTTTTGGGGTCCTGGCCGCCATGCTTTTACAAACTTTTTCCTTCATTTAAATATGAAAAATATGTTTAAGGCTCCAGTGTGACAGGCATACATGTTTATATCAGTGTTTGTAGCAATACCAAAAGGTGTTGCACTTTGTGAGGCAGATAGGATCCAGCATTTAAGAGTAGTTTGTCATAGAAGAGGGTTTGATTAATTTCGCCTCATTTATGTCATGTAGGTTTACTTTCCATGAGTTTCTGCATGATGAAATGAGCTGGGTTTGGTATAGACTGAATCAGAGAAATACTTGCAGCATACTATATATATGCTCATTTGTGTGTCTGTCTGTTATGGCCAAGAAGATAGGTAATAATAAACATAAGGGCAATATCCTATTCTAGGTTGAAAAGGCAACTGGACTGGTTTCAGTTCTTGAAGATTTTTCTCCTCTCTCTCACAAGGTATCTTCATTTCTAAAGTGACTGGAGCCAAAGTTGGAAATTTATAGCCTCTGTTGGTCCTGTGTTATGACTGCTGTCAAAAGGAAGCCAAAGCTGAATTGAAAGTGGGGGATAAAAAGAAGTTCCTTAGTCCGCCGCCTGTGTTCAAAGATGGTTTCTCCAGTTTGACAAAGATGGCCTCCTTGAGACCTCTTTCAAACCAGAGGTCTTCCCTGGCCGGTATCCTAACACTGCTGTCTTCAAAGGAATGCCCTGTAGCCTTCAGACCTGAGTAAACAGCTGAGTCCTGGCCCGAAGATGTGGCTCTCCTGTGCTGGGCCATGTGTTTGAGCCATGGCTGTTTAGTTTCCCCGAAGTACAAGCCCTTTGTTGTAGAGTTCTGATGACACCCAGTTTGTGTTCCAGTGGATGGTGAGAATCAAACAGTAGACACTACTCTGTCTGGGTTGGTTTCCTGTAAACTTCTCTGCTGAGGCTTCTGTCCTCCACTTGGCCTGAACAATCCAGACAGGCCAGACTGTCTTCTTTTACATCCTCAACAAGGCCTCTTCTTCACTGGATGTAGTCTTGGCCCAGGTGTCACTCCAGTGAAAGAGGAGAGAGGCTCCCTTACTACATTTTCCATGTAGAGATTAGTCACTATAGGAGACACTGGTAAGCCATGTTTTTGCCTGTAGAAGTCCCTGTTGTACTGAAAGTATGTGGAGTTAAGGCAGAGGTCCAGCATGGTAAGTGCTTGGTCTAGGGTGAGGGAAGTTCTGCTTCGTAGGCTCTTGTCTACCAGCAGACGATTCTTTATTTCTTCCACTGCTTCAGTTGTAGGGATGCAAGTGAACGAGGAAGTGACATCATAGGAAACCATGGTCTCTTCAGGTTGTAGTCCAAGTCCATTTATCCTGTCGGCAAAATCCCATGAGTTTCTTAAGTGTTTGGGGGTGTTAGTGACTTTCCATCCTTGCCACCCAGCTCTCCTCTTAAATCTTTTTTGGATCGCAATATCTGCTCCAAGGGGATTTTTGCAAAAAAAAATATATATATATTCTTTACTCAAAGTGAGGTTGGCTAAATTCAATCAAAGTATTGATCCTAACTGTGATCAATGTGGAACAGCACAGGCTTCTTTATCACATATGTTTTGGCTGTGCCCAAACTTGAAAGATTTTTGGCTGTCTGTATTCAGATTTTTCTCTAATATATCAGGATTATCAATATAACAGCAATATTTGGGACAGTACCTCAGGATCTTAATCTCAGCTCACACAGTAAAAAACAGGACAACCTTTGCAACACTTCTGGCAGGAGGACTTACATTACTCAAAAGGAAAGAGAAATTATTTCATACTTTTAGTTCATGGATAAGAGACCTCATACATCATCTGAAAAAAGATTCGGTATACTACAAGAGTCTGTGCTCACAACTTTTACAGCATCTGGCAACTAGTCCAGAAATTTTAAGAGATAAATTTTAGACTCCCTTTCATTTTCTATATGTGTACATGTGGCTAATTTCAATGGTTAACTTTACTTTTGTAAGGAGGGGGAGCCCTTCTTCACTCAGTGGCTGTTATCGCTCAAAATATAATTTTTTTTTACCTTGCAACATCGGCTTCATGCACATTTTTATCAACTTTTGGCCTAGTTGATTATATCTTACATTCATACTTGGTAACGTCTCATGCCTACATTCCACCATCAGTCTACACTGTGATTTGTTTCCCATAGGTTTTCAGAAGGCTATGGCAGCAGCGGGGGAGGGGTGCGTGATCACAGTGTATTTATTTATTTATTTTTTCTGTGATACACAGTGGCAGAATGACATGATTATTAAGAAACAGTAACTTAGCATTAGCTTGTCTACGGCTAGCTAATGAGAAGGGCGATAATTCAGATGAAAGCTACTTGCCCTCCACAGGTGTTGATTTTAACCTTCTAGCTCCATTTGTTTGAAATTCACCATTTGTTTTATAAACTGTAGGTGAATTATGTGACCCCAACACACCTTTGGTCCCAATGCAGATGATGAGGGCAGTAGTTAAGGCTCACTGCACCTGTAAGGCAGGTTTAGGAGAGAAGAGAGATCTCTTAATATGTGTGTGTGTGTGTGTGTGTGTGTGTGTGTGTGTGTGTGTGTGTGTGTGTGTGTGTGTGTATATATATATATATATATATATATATATATATATATATATATATATATATATATATATATATATATATATATATATATATATATATAAGGTCAGTCTGGCTGTTTTTGCTTTGCTATAGTTACAGCCCACAGCTATGATGGAGAATAAGGCCACACCAAAGACAGAAAAACAGAAGATAAAGTTGTTAGTATGCAAAATAAACACATTGATTTATGACATTAAACATGTAGGGTTTCAACATTAAAAATGTAATTTTACAGAAGAGAAGTCACACATTTACAAGTTTAAAGTTGTAATTATATTAAGAGAGAGAAATTGTAAATATGGGCTCCCTTTAAAGTCTTATCTTAGATGTTGGTGGTGGGGGTGTGTGTCTTCCTCAGGGTATAATTTCTTCTTTCTGTAGCCAACAAAGCTATATTTATCTTCCTACACTTCAAATGAAAAACAGCCTTATGTACACAAACACAACAATGAATGATGGGGACATATGCCAGGCTTGACCTTGTTTGCCAGTGCAAGAATAAGAGGGGCAGGACTGCACTTTTATGAGTGTCCTTTACTGAGCTCATGTTGGCAGACATTCAGGTCATCGCATCCTTGGCTGCATCATTTTATTTGATCAAAACTGAGAAGTGTCTTCATTATCTCTCTATTTCTTGCAGCTCTAAAAACAATAATAACCGAATTCAAAAATAGAAGCTTTTTTATTATTATTTTAATACAAACATATAACAGGATTTACATTGTTTCAGTAATTCTGTGCTTCTCTTTTCTCATGTATGTTACTCTATTCAACCTTATAACTGTTGTGAGCACTCTTTTTGGGTTTCTTTTTTTTTTTCCTCCCACTGAGTATGGGTGAATCCTGTCTTAACTTTCCACATTTACAGTGTCAAATTTAAGCAAGCAAATATTTTGAACTGTGTTCAAATGTATATGTAGCACCTAAACTAGATTTGGTCTGACAGCCTCAGCTGCATCATGTAAAATCCTGTATAAACATCCATGCCACTTAAATACATGTTGCAAATCTGTTTAAATGATTGTTTGTTTTTATTGCTGTTGAACTTGGCCTCCTCTTTCACACTGCCAGCTGTCAAATGCTGGCAGAGAGAGATTGAGTGGATTTTACTAGATTGTAAAAAATGAACAGATAGAGGTTGATGAGGAGGGAAACATTGCTCTTTATGCTCCTTTTGTGTTAGCATTTTTATCCACTTCGTCACATATGACAAAAATATGAAGTACCTCAATGATATGGAGCATCTTTTTTGACAAATAGCATCCTTTACAGATCAGACTCTCAAAGGGATGCAGTCTGTCTTTTCCTCTCTAAAAAAAGGAAGAGTCAGCTGTGTTGTCGAACAGCAGGGAGTGTCTGAAGTTCAGGCTGGGAAACTTGTTGAACTGTGGCTTTAGGTTGGCTGAGTAAATGTGAGCAGTCAGGCCGTGTCTTAGTAAAACCTCCATCATTCAGTAAGGCCTCCAGCTGCTGAAGTATCAACTCATTCATGAGATCTGTAGAAGATGGGTGGGCTATTTGGGTGTCAGAAAAATAAGATTTTGTGTGACCTCATGCCAAGATGAGGTGTATTCAGGAGGCAATACATGGCATCTATTGGTTAAGAAACTTCCTGTCATGTTAAACATGTGAAAGAGGAAGATATTTGAAATGGCTCAGCTGATTATGGACATGCTCATTCTTCTTTTCTAAATCAATCAATAAATTGAAGTTCTCTTCACAATTTAAATGCTTGACAACATTTGGCAACAGAGGCCAAAAAAAAAACCTTAACTTTAACAAGCAGAACGTTAGAGCAGAACTAGCCTCATGGTAAAGAGCTCCCTGCCACGAGTGAATGGTCTGAAAAGACAGAGAGGCAGATAGAAAAAGAGCAATAATAACATCAATGATAGAAAACAGACCTGCTATCGCTTTAACGATAATCACAGAAAACAAAATATCATTATTAGTCTTCTGTCTAATGTCACTGATCATGAATGGGCACATCTCATCAGACATGGCACACAAATGTTGTGTTAAGAGCACTCTGTTGTCCCATCTGGGGATTGACCTCACAATCAGAAGTCATCTCATGCATAGTACTGATGTCCAACATTTTAAAGGGATATTCCAGCATAACACTGCAGTGGATCATTTTCTTGAAGTAATCATCATAATAATCATTTTGCACTGCAGATGCAGTAGTTCTGCCTTAGCGCTTGGTTGGCGTATTAACATCTATGTTCAAAACAACAAGCCACCCGTTCATTAAAGTCCGGTTGTATCGAAGCAGCAATCTGTGAAATGAGTCGTAGTTCTACTTCTTTTGCTTCTTTCCGCAACCTGGAAAATCACATAATTGATCATTATGTCCTCCTTTGCCTCAGGTATTTGGTCATGACTGATTTGTCTTCACCTTTATGCTGTCTTCTAACTCTTCATGAGATAAACAATTGTGTTGACTTCACGTGAAATCTTGGGTTTGTTTACGTGAGTTTCTCCTGCAAATACATAACATTAAAAATGCTAATCTGTGCTCATTTCCTGGACAGCACTCAATAATAACAGTTAAAAACTGATATACAAGATAAACAAGAACTCTGATTGCATTTCCATGAAGTAATTATCATAAATGTTCTTCCTTGAGCTGTGAAACTCCGCTGCACTTGGTGATCGACTCGTCAGGGCTCCCCCACAAACAAGCTGCTGCTGGAGGAGAGTGGGTGAGTTGTGTTTAGTCTCTTTGCTAAAGAAACCAGGCAAAACTAAAAAAGATGTTTGATGGCTAGTACATATAGGCTGGGACCCTATATGTGCTGCTGATGAAGTTAGGTGCTGTTCTGAGCATTATTTGTTGCTATGGAGTGGCTTTTAGGTTAAGGTTTGAGCGTGGAGACGTAGATCGTTGTGTATTGCTATTGTGCAGTCGTTGCTGCATGAGTTGGTAGAGAAGCAAGTAGTCCGCAACATTCATCTCTTGAGGGGATATCTAACTTGGTGTTACAGTGTGTTTGACCCTATGTTCATTTTATGCTGGAATATCCCTTTACCTGACAGGAAGGCCACAGTTTGGCAGGCTGGGGAACAGTGTTTCTGGGACATTAATGAGCAGTACAGGGGCTCCACAAGGGACAGTGCTGGCGCCATTCCTGTTCACACTGTACACGTCAGACTTCAAATACAGTACTGAGTCCTGCCACATCCAGAAATACTCAGATGACACCGCTATTGTGGCACGTATCAGAAATGGACAAGAAGCTGAATACAGAGATCTGATAAGAGCCTCTAGTGACTGGAGTCACAAAAACTGCCTCCTCCTCCACACATCATATCATACCTAGACATCATATAAATACCTAGGTGTGCATCTGGATAATAAGTTGGATTGGTCTAAGAATATAGACTTAATCTACAGAAAGGGCCAGCACTGCCTCTTTTGCCTGAGAAGACTCCGGTCAATAGACATGGGTAGTAAGATGCTGCAGATGTTTTATCAGTCTGTGGTGGAAAGTGTTCTGTTCTACGCTGCAGTCTGCTGGGGAGGAAGCATCAAACACAAAGATGCAAGACGTCTTAACAAACTGGTGAAAAAGGCTGGCTCTGTGGTTGGACTCAAACTGGACTCAGTGGAGGATGTGGTGGAGAGATCTACACTGAGGAAGGTGGAGTCTATTCTACAGAACATGGATCACCCACTTCACAACACCTTGATGGACCAAAGGGCCAATGGTGGTGGACGGCTCCTCTCTCTTCGCTGCAGGACAGAAAGATTCAGAAGATCTTTTGTACCAACAGCCATCAGACTTCATAACTCTTGAGTAAATAGTAGATAACTTTTAGAGACATATTATGTGAGACAACAGACAATTGAATTTCCCTTCGGGGATCAATAAAGTTCTTCTTATTCTTATGGAAATTTGCTGAGATTGTAACATCACCTGACAGTGAATTTCCTTAAAAGAGCAAATTTGACATTTTATTAAAAAAAAGAAACTCGACTTTGTCACATGACAACAGTGAAGGAGGCTCCCAGAATGCTGGGTTCTGAAATGCTGAGGGGGGCTTAAAGGGACAGTGATTATAAATCATGTAAAGCTGCTGAGAAGTTATCAGAGGGACAAAATATAGAGGAAAACAAGCATCATACCCCATCTTTAATGAGTGCAGATCATACATTGAGATATCCAAACTCTACAAACAATTCCTGTTTCTAGTGTAAAGCCCTGTTCCTAGTGTAAATCTACCTCTGTTAGTAGTTTGTTCCCAATGTTCTCATTCTCTCAATCACTATAAAAGTTAGCATTAAAAACAATAATTATAATAAGACTGATAATAGTTCTCATAACAGCTTGCATAGATGAACATTTACACTGAAATTACATTTATGGCATTAAGACAGATAATAGTTTAAGCAGCTGGCATCCACGGCAGCAGGCTATCTAATAGTTGTATCTTAGCCTTTAATTTTCATTAGATTAGATTTGTAGATGAAATGCAATAACTGGCATTATCTACAACAACTGTATTTTTCAGGCAGCGAGAGTAGAAATGCGCATAGAGAAATGTTTTCTTGTGACCAAAACAGAGTGCCTCCTCTACACCTTTAACAAAGTGTTATACATTTTTCACACAACATACAGCTTAAAAAAGAGGGAAAAAACAATTTCCTGTATTTAAATTCAGTTTGGTTGGTAAGACAAGTGCAAGAAAACAACAGTGTATGGGTCACCTGCTCTCCTCCACCCTGACACATCCATGAAAAGTGGCTCAAAGCCAGACAGCGATCGTTCTGTGTAGCATCTGCCACACTGTTAAGGACAGGTTGTTGCAGACTGACACAGATGGCCTCTTCCAATCCACCATCATTGTGTTTAAAATTGTAAATGGCCTGCAGAAGCCATGATGTTTGAGACCCTCTGTGGTTAAATAAACACCACCAACAGCAACAAAAATGCTTTCTGCACAAGTGGATAAGTGTGCGTACGAAGGACCCCACATTCGCCGTTTATCCAATTTTCTTGTCAAGCTTTTTTCTCACAGACTGTTTATACTATGGGCTCTATTTTCGTTCGCGCCGGTGAGGCGGCGGAGGGCGGCGAGCCCCGCGCAGTTGTATTTTCGTCTGGCGGAGCCCGGTGTAAGGCGAGTTTGGTATTTTCGTGGACTGAGTCGCACGGAGGCGAGCCGAGATCCGCCAAGCTGGGCGTGGTGGCGTGGCAGGGGGAGGTGTTGACAGAATCAGCTGGCGCAGTGACATTTTCGTGCTCGCCACCGGCGTGTAACGTGCGCTGAAAGCTCGCCGATTCAAACCTGGTCAGCTTTCAGCGCAAGGCGGAACGCAGCTGGTCTAGTAGTATTTTGGTTGACCGGCGGCGTATCGACATACGTCACCGATGCCTCACCGGCAGGTTTCCACAGTGTCAGGCACATTTCAGTGCAATAAATAATCATCAACAACTAATAATCTGAGTCAGCACATACATTTAGATCTATATCGATATATTCTGATCTATATCTGATCTGATGAGCGCGTTTGGCACGCGTTTGGGCACACAACCTGACCGAATCAATACAGCTGAAACTGCATCAAATTAAATTAAATATCTAGTAAATAAACACACATGATGAAGTTAACAAGATATGTAATTCATCTCCCTCCTTTTCTTTCTTCCTCTTCCTCTTATTTCTCGCACAGCTCGACCTGGACACGTCTCTGTGTCCTCTGTCCGTCTTGCTGCAGCTGCTGCGGCTGAACAGATGATTTGTTTCAGTGCTCAGATGCGTGATCTACTTTAAGCCGACATACGGATATTATAATATTCAGTCTTGTGGGCCAAATTTATTTTATATGCCAACATCTATGAAAGAAAGAGCCAGGCCACGGAGCACGATGCGTCATTTACGCACAGATGGTTCAGATTTTAATGCCATTTTTGGAGTTTATGTTGTGATCTGTGCGCTAAACCCACCTTTGTCACGAGAGGTTTGAATATATGCAACTTTATGTGAGTGTCTTTTTTGTGGAAAAGGGTGTTTGTCTTACCAGTGGGTCCAACATTACGCACACCAAATCCGTCTGTGCTCAGATGAGAGAGTGTGGAGGACACTTGTTGAGCAGCTGCCCTCTGTCGCCATCGTGTGGCATTACTGTCTTAAGACATCTCTTGATCTCTTTGACGACTTCATGAAAATAGTATTACGCCTCGCCGGTGGCGGATTTAAAGGCAAGGAGAGGAGCTTATGTGATTGGTGAAAACAGGTCTCGGCTGTGTTAAATCTACTAGACGCCCTCTCTCCTCCCCGTCTATGACTTATGCTGCCGGGAGGAGCTGAGTTAGGGAGGGGGGATACTTACGCCGGGCTGCGCGGCTCACCAAAATACCAAAATGTGCTTGGGAACGCCTTGTCAGCGCGGCGGATCTGATTGATGCTGCGCTTGCGGCACGTCTCCGGCGAGGCACCAAAATAGAGCCCTATGGACAATTTGGCTCCGCCTTCTATCATTATACAATTTGAAGCTGAATTGCTCTCTGTATTTCCGGGATTTTCTCCACTTCCTGGAACCACCGCTTTTGCAGTAGCATAGTACGCATTCGGCGAGAGAGTCGTTCTGATGAAGCCTGGCTCAAACAGCGTATCCCCGCATTCTTCGTATGCCCATACGCTGTATCAGGTGTCAATCATAGAAAACATGAACCCACTAATAACTTTTAAAAATGGAGCTGCACAGAAAAAAAGAGGACTTGAGCACAAAACAGTCTTACAATAACTTCATGTCAACATTGCAAACAGGGGGGAAGAAAAATTATTTTTGTGTAATAACTTTAAGCCCGTTACCAGAGGGTGCTGTTCTCAGGGAGTCTTCACCCAGCATGGTGGCAGACAGCGTCTTTTCTATATACAGTCTATGTTTTTTCTCTTTTAACAGTCCGCATCCCAGTTAATACTTAGATGTGTCAGCCCACACAAGTACAGCACAATAAGCTTTCTTAATCTTTTGAAAATACAAACGAACTGTGGCCATTGTTGTGGGACTAGAACTGTAGACTAAAAGCCAATTTATTGACTAGTTGGTGTAAAAATGTCTCTATTCAAACCATCACAGTTTCACTAACTTACCATGAAAGTCAAAGAGTTTGAACAGCAGCACCGCTCTGTGAACACAGGACATACTTTAAAGCACATTTTATCACAATTATAACATGTCTCGAGTCTATTTCTGAGAATTTTACCTCTGCTTAAAACAACCTATTTAACTGTTTAAACTTCACTTACTTGTACATATATTCATATGTCTTATTTGAATACAATCAAAAGTCAGTTGTAGCCTGAACATAGTGATAGTCTTCTTTAATCATGTTCTTTCTGTGGAGGGAGACTGTCAGTCTAACCCTCTCTGTTTGAACCGCATGCTTCTTTTCAGTGTAAGGACAGGAGACCATTCATCACCAACTCTAATTAAACATACCCTCAACACAGGGCATTGGCAGCTGCAGGGAAAAGAGACAAGAGAAGGAGATCAATTGCCATGAGACAGATGGAAAAGGACAGAGGTAGAAGAGGAAAGGCGCTGGAGCAAGGCACAGAGAGTGCAGACGCTGTGATGGAAAACACAGGGAGGACGTGAAAAAGCTGCGGTGGCTAAAAGTCAAGTCTGCTGTCAGATGGGCCGAGCCCCCCCTCCCACCTGGGTAATAAGAAGAGTGACTCCTTCCTCAGGACGCCTGTCAGCCCCGACTTAGTCCATCTCTTTAACAACATGTGGGCCTTTTTCTATTCCACTGGAGACTGATGCAAGTTGTGCATCACAGCAACTGAAGCTTGGGGGTACTAAGGCTGCACGACGGGCTGGAGATTGATTCCAATAGGGCTTTCTTGATTTCTGACCCCCTTTTGTTCACTGACAGATGGGTAAGATTACCTTGACATTGCTGGTACTAGATCTTTCTAATGGTGTTTATACCTGTGTCACTTCTAGTAGACAGTCACTAAACACAAGATGATTTATCTGTGCCTCAGGGTAACACGGGAGTCAACTGTTAAAGCAACATCATTGATACAGTACGTGTATGTAACAGGATGCCAAGGGATAGCTTTTCATACCACACAGATCTTGGACAGGTACATTATTTAGTTATGGAAGTTAAGAAAGGTTTTTCAATGGTTTCCATCTATCTGTGGCATCTTGTAAGAAAAAGTTTGAGGGCCTCTGAGGCCTAAACTGACAAACTACTCCCATTTGACTTAAAAATAACTAGCAGGAAATACTGATATGATGCATATTCAAAGAGTCATGCAAAAGTGCAACATTGATGCAACAAAAGAAACATGCTGTCAATGAAAAAAAAAAAAAAAAAAGCCATGCATACCCTTACTAAAAAAAAGTATACCTCAAGTCCACTTGAAGCATACTTAAAGTAAACTTCTTGGTATACTATTAGATTACTACACAGCAAAAATTGGAGTGTTAAAATTTCAAGGTTGAACATATCAGAGTTGATTTCCACTCTCAAAGTGTTATTTTAACACATTCTGATTCAAATGGTGTTCAGTGTTTAAGGTAGTTTTACATCTTTACACAGTTAAGGCCCCTGGGCTTCTGCCCTTGTAAAACCCTGCTACGCATCTTCCATGTGCTGCTGGTTTCACAGATGGATCAGTGTTGGAGAGCATTTTACACAGAGGGTAAGTGTATTAAATCAAATTTATGGGAACAATAATATTAAATGAAATGTTGTACATAAAAGGAAATATCTACCGCAAATAATGCTACTTTTCCAAGATTTTTTCTCGCTGGTACACATGCAGGTACATTCTGAAAATGCAAATGCATTTCTGTTAATGTATCGATACAAATTTGCTTCCATAGTTTCCATGGAAATGTCAATAAAAAGCATAGTGTGCTGACACTGGCACTGATTACCTCCCGGTCACATGCACTCTGCTCACTTGGGCATCAACCGCGATTTGGTCGTTGTTAATGCTTTCAGTTTGAGCTAATAGTTCCAGGCCTTGTTTACCTTGTACCATAGCCAATCAAAAATGGATTTGAACAGGCGCGTATCCTCTGCAGGATACCGGTTACAAGAGCTAAACATAAACACCAGGCCAAAATCCTCCCAGCCAGCACCGGACATGAGCCACCAAGGCAAAGCTAAAGGGGAGATGGTGTCCAATACAGCCGAGATTGAAGGTAAGACGGACCCTGTGAAACAGCAATTACTACGGAGAGAACTGGTTCTGAGTGAGTGGCGAGGAGTTCGAAATGGTAAACAAGAGTTCAGCCTCAAAAAAAGTTTTTGAATGCACTAAACAATCTTAGGGTGAATTACTATGATGGTTGGTTTGTTCTTACAGTCTATAAACTTCCAGTCCCCTTTTTAGTTTATAAAAGCATACTCTGAAGGATACCTTTATTTTTTTATTTGTTTTGGGGGGTGCCTTCAATGGGTATGACAAAGTGGTGCGGTGGTGACATGCAGCACATGGTCAGGGCAGGAATCGAACCCATAACCAAAGCACCAAAGCAGGGACCACAGTCCCCAACATGGGACACACCTTAACCCACTCGGCTATCTGCACACTGACTCTGACACATAATTAAAATTACTTTTTGGTATGATATTATTTCAGTAGTTGTACATATTTGTATACTTGGCTTTTATTGCTTATCTTTTTAAGAGTTTACTCTTATGGGGTATATTTCCATATATCTTTTATAAGAGTGTACTCTATAAGAGTATACTCTTATAAAGTACACTCTTAAAAATATATATGGAAGAATTCCCTAAGATTGAAATATAAGTAGAGGTTAGATATATTTAGACTTTTAGCATAATTCTTAGTACAAGCCAAATATAGTTAACATTTCTTTAAGTATAACTCTAAAGAGTGTACAAAGTAAACTGAAAGCATACTTATTAAAAAAAAAAAATAAAAAATAAAAAAAGTATACTTGAAGTACATTTTAACACACTTCTTTTTGGTAAGGGTATTATCAACACAGCAAATGCAAAAGGGTAAAAAAGTGAAAATAATCAAGACTAAAACAGAGAAAACACAGGCCTGTGACTCTCACTGTAACAGGTTTATCATGTCTGTGAAGGACAGTGAGGCAGAGACTGTACTCCTTGGTTGTGGTTCATATTGACTCCCTCTCTTTTTGTGTCACATCATACAGAACCAGGTGGAAGGTATTGATAGGAGGACTGATTAGCATAAAGGCAACGACTACAATGGGGAACCAGCTCTCATCTGGAGCTCATTCTTGATTCCCATCTCTTATGTCAGGACATATTGGACAAAATCTAGATTTACTGCCACAAAATCAACATTTTGATTCTGACTTATCCAACATTATGCCTTGAATTACCAATATAGCTACATTCAGTATTGCTGTAATCATTATGCTCCTTTCTTTAGTCAGCTAGCTGTGTCTTGACTGGCCATTGCTGTGGTCCATACCACAATCATCAGAGTGCATTCTTGGCTGTCCTTGGGATTACCCTCACACATCGGGATATCTGGTTGTAAATATTCAGATCAGGGGGAGTAAATCACTCTTCACACTCTTCAAACCACAGGAAAATCTGGAAAGACACATAAAAAATCTGCCCTCAGTTGACTTTTGTCTGAGAGGGTGATTGGGCCCAAAAACAGACAACTATCATGTTCTATTTATTTACCCTGTTGTGATGTGTATACAGTGGCTATGTCCCACTGTTTCATTAGCTGGGGATATTAGTTAGCCATGCAGCTAGTGGTATTATGAGATGACTTTTTAATTTCTTGGTATTGTTGGTGTTTACCAGGCCTGTTTGACCTCCGGACTTGAAAATCATCTAGAGGATTATTTTTGCTCAGCCAAACTTTGAACAGAAACAGTTACAGCCAATATTATTAAATTAATGCACAAATGATGCACACTGTAAAGGAGACACTGCATAGCTCTGACACTCTAGTATTGAACTGTTTAGGGGATAAACAAGTGAACTTACAGAGCATAGTGTGCCACACACATGCAGCTACAGTGACAACATGTCAGTCTTTCTAAAGATTCTACTCTATAGAGCGATCAAGAATCTGTGCGAATGACTTATTTCTTGATTGTTTATTTCTAGTGTTTTACCTCCATAAACAACAGTTTTCACAATCAGTTTTCACAGTTGTAAAGTTTTATCATCCCTGTTTCAATGTTCCAAAATCGAACCTGATCAGAGTTTACGTGTAAAGGCAGTTTAATGGGTTACATAAACCACCAGGTGCAGGTTTAGCAATGTTTAACGATAATAACACATCAGACATCTGCATTAAACCGACTAAATGCTCTGTGACTCAATCCTCATTCTGACTTTGCAGCATTAAATGAAGAAATTTAGTTGGTTTTCTTCTTCTCATTCTGTAGGAGGTGAAATAATTTTCTACTGTGGGTGTGAGGAGGATGGAGGGCAAGAGACTTTCGGAGTCAAGTTTCATTTTGGCCTGTACAGGCGGCATACAAATAAAACTTATTAAAGTTATGGGCACTGCAAACATCTACCAACTTACATAGCAGTAAAAAATCCTTCTCGTATAAATGAATCCTTCATTTTTTTCTGTGTTGAAGCCACAAGAGGCAAGTGAAAGCTTATCATGTGGCATCAATTACTGGCTGCCAGCATGATTTATTTAAAGCAAGTCCACTTTGAGTGGTTTTCTTGATAGGTGAAAGAGGCACTCATACCTGCTCCTTGAAAATAACTCTTAATTGCATTAAATTACATTATATTACATATAGAAAATAGCACCTGCATAAGAGGCACATCAGATGTAAAGGTCAGGTGGTTAAGCTCTTTTAGCTCCTCTGCACATAAACAGTTATTACACCTGTACAGTATGTTGAAGTTTTCAGGGTCAGCACAACTAATTGAGATCAATGGCTGACAGATTTGTGACTTTTTGCGGCACATATCTTAATCTGCTAAATGAAGAAACCTTTTCAGCCAGCAATCTTTACAGCACTGCAAAAGTTTGCTTGTACCATGTATCTCATTCATTTACTGCAGTGTTTTGTTGGGTCATGCTAAAATAATGAGCAGTTGTCATCAGGCTTGAAACCTAGAAGTGAGCGATACTATCTTTTCCCTGTTAATGCCTGTTTTTTGTCACTGTTGGTTACCCCCATGCATTTTTACAAAGAAATACATCATCCTGACCTTTTCCAGAGATCTGGCATCATTTTTCATTCTGTGGCTTTGCTCATTTGAATGTGGTTCAATTCACTGATCATGATAAGGACTATTAAATATCTCCATCTGACTCATTGACCTTTAAGAGGCAACACAAATATCAAAACCATCACTCTTGCCTGCCGTGTTCTACATGAAATAGTTGGGCTGGGAACAAACACAGTCAACTCCCACTTTAATACACTGTCACATGTTTACACTGAATTACAGCTGTGCATCAAAAAGAAAAAAAAAAGAAAAAGCACAAAAAAAGATGAAAAATGAATGTAAGAGAAAATAGAGTGGTACAATAAAACTATATGTTTTAGGAATATCTTGTCCTGCCTTTTTAAAATTATTATACTATTATTGCAAGAACGAACATGATCTTTTGGAGTCAGAGCAGAGACAATTAAAAAATAAAATAAAAATTGTTTCTAAAGGAGAGTGAAAGTGTTTTACTAATTTCCAGTGAGGAGAAACTTTGAGGTAGTTTTGTTCTACCATGATGGTCCAGAATCTTTGTTTGAATCCAAAGACCCTGTGCAGCTTTGTTAACCCCTCAAAAGGTTCATAGGGAACATGTCTGGTCCATGAACTCACACAGCCTATGATATTAATTAGTTCAATCTTTTCGGTCACTACCTCTGGATTACCCGTTATACTGCTGTCATTTTCACTGGTCATTAAAGCTGAACGGCTGTCATCCCCTACTGCAGTTCATGCCGGATGATAAAGTGATGGCCGGGTGATTTCCAGATGATGTTCTCCTGAGTGCAAGTTACCTTGAGCAAAGTGAATCACTGTTTCACAAACCAGCTCCATTTGCTGCAGGTATTCAAGCTGAAAACACTTCAAACTGCTTTTACTTGGACTCCATTTAAGATCACACCTGAACTATTAAATCATCAGAATCACTTAATCTTCATCTCCTTGTCTGCAGCATCTTATATCCACGTGGGGACACATTAATGTAACCCTTGCAAACAGGGTAACTGTGAACCTTAAGAGTTATCCTTTTTTCATATCATGCAGGCAATTTATTTAATGTGATTTTCACATGACCCGGTGCACCAATGTTTATCTTAATGCTACAAACCTTTTTTTTTTTTTTCTTTTATCATCGTTGTTGTTACTGTTTTATTATTGATATATCAAAATCATTTAATGTGGGTCCTGGTGGGACCAATGTTAAAAGCACCCAATGTTGCTTTCTTCCCTCTTTTAAATGGAGTCAGTTCATGTTGAAAAGGGGTCTACCAAAGTGTCTATTTTTTATTCTTATACTTTACCAAACACTGTCAAAGCTTGAAGACATCATAAAAATACCATCTTTAAACAGCCACCTGTGGCAGTTTGTAAATGCGCACACAATAACCTGGCGGGATTCCCTTAAAGAAGCATCTTTTTTTGTGGTGTATATACAAAACAGCTTTTAAAATCAGTCAATAGCTATCAGTTATTGATGACATTTGGTGATATAACGATATCGCTGTGTTTTGTTATGTCTGTGTAGTCAACATTCTAAAATTTTTGAGCGGCCCACTCTTTCTGACTGTAAACAAAGCCATTCCCCGCCTCCCTCAACCTCATTGGTTGTGAGGTGGATGCTGCTGCCTCGTGTTGTGAGGCATGCTCCACACCTCCAATAATGTGCACGAGCCCAAACAAAGTTGGCGTGGTATGATATCGGACAGTAGAAACCAACCAGAAAGTTTGGTAAACACAAGCAATAAAATAAAGTAAATACCAGAGACTCTGGCGGAATAACGGGTGCTTAAAACGGAGGTAGACCGGACAAGAGCTAAGAAGCCCAGTCAACATCAGCATTAACAATGGGGGACACTTCAGGATCCTACAGACCCTGTAACCTTTCTGTTGGACAGGTAAACCGCTTTAACAAAGTAAGCCAAGTGTCTTTAACAGAAGTGTTTCTTGTCAAACGGAACCCGCTGTGTGTTGCAGCGCCGCTAAACTGTTGACCTCGGGTCCTGGACTGTGTCACTTTATCCTAGTTGTAGAAGTCCTGCAAACATTGTGTTAGCTGGTAGTCTGTTGGCATCTACAGTAGCACCAATGCTTTTTACTTTCACATTGACTAGACCTCATTTGTAATTATCTGAAGTATTTATCTGCATTATATCTGAATTTAATTGAGCATGAGTGAGCATGAGCGTCTGTTTGTGGGCGGGGCTTGCTGGAGCAGAGAGGGAGGGGAGAGGAGGAGCTGAGAGGAAAACTGGTTGGGAGAGGTAGTGTTTACATTCAAGATTCCTCCCAAAAAACTGGCACTTCCTCAGATCCAACTATCCCACCTTTAAAGTCCCACTCTGATCATTCTATTTTTAACTACTTAAAGTGTTCTCAGTGGTCTTTAAATTGTGATTATTAAGTTTTTAGCCAAAATCTCGTTAGCCTACCTATGTCATTTTCAAGGGCTTTTCTTCTGCAGAGCTCCAGTAGCTCATTAGCAATTTGCCTCCGAGTCGTGGGCAGAGACAGCGCTGCTTTGCACACTCCTCTTCATGCTAGCTTGTAGCCTAACATTGCTGGTGTAGTTGAAGTTGCAGGTAATATAGGAGCTATGTCCTTTGGATCTGTCAGAGATTCACAGTGATTTGAATGCAGAGATACTCAGAAATGCAATTTTGCACTTAGTTTTCTCATGATATGTCCTGTAGCATCAGAAAAATGTAGACAAAAGGAAAAACATGATTTTCATTGGAGTGGGTCTCATACTGTCACTTTCTACCACAGAGCTGCATAAAACACACTGGAGGAGGAACATGCTGGGCCTGTTACTGTAGCATAATTTAGCAGCAACCTCTGGTCTTGGGAAATAAAGCTGATGTGGCAGTGCTGAAACCTGCAGTTCCCTGAGTGTCCACTTGAAGCTGACTGCAGAAGCACCAGAAACCAAATTCACTCTCATCAGAAGCTATTTTTACAGCAAAAATAAGAACTTTTACAGCCTAGTTTAAAAAAAAAAAAGATTTTGGTATGAATAGCTCGAGGCTCCAACTATACAGGCAATTGTTATTATTGTTTTTTTTTTTTTTGGTGACATGTTTGTTTTTAAGTTTCTTAGGTTACAAGACTGGTGAATCAGAGGCACAGGTAACTTACTGAAAGGCAGGCGCAAAGTTCAGTTCTATCAGTAATTCCAATATGGCGACCGCTGCCTTGTAGACTTCAATGCTACTTCCAGTTGTAATACAGGCAGCAAGACTTCCCTCCAACAGAATATCTGCATTAAAGTGATGATGGACAGACATCAGATTATTTCAGACAGCATAACATTCAATGTTTGATAGGGACAGCTGTGCAGTCATTGTGCAGCAGTGTGATGTTGATGTGAAACCAGATGCATGGGTATTTAAAAGTGAGTTTCAGAGAAAGACATAGATCAGCTGAAAACAAGAGTAGAGGGTTTAGTGATAAATGTTTTTTTCTACACCTTTTCTCTCGATTATTGACCGGAACCCTCCAAACAAATGTTACAAAATCAATTTATTGCTGCTGTGAGGGCAATGGGTTGTCACACCGCAGGAAAACAGCCACATTGGGGAGAGGGCGGGAGGCCCCCCACTGTATTGATAATTAAAATAGAGTCCACAGTGCTTGAAAAATACGTCACGGTACTGAATGACTGATGACTGCAATCACAATTGGAGAAAATAAACAAGCTCGATGCTGAAAATTGGAATCAGTCAAGGCTGTCATACAGTGTTTGAAGAAATGGGATGGAAAGCAAAGTGGACATGGCTGTTGTAATCGGTGACATGTTAAGCTTTAATGTGCTTGTACCCTTTGTTACGCATTACATTGTTATTTATCAGAGCGGAATTCAGTTATTCTTCAATTCTGAGGTTGAATCACTTCATTGAAATTCTCAAAAATAGACTTCATCTTATACAGAAAGACTGACGAGCTGAGTGCATGACCTTTAGTGCTGACACACATTCATTTACCAGGCCAGGGTGTAATTGTCCTCTGTTCTGACTCTGAGACGCCTCCTCCTCAGTATAACAAATATATAATCTGCTCCTGCGGGGGAGTTGTGAGCCAGAGTGTGAAATTAATACTTCTCTCTTCTCTGGGGTGCAATAAATAAAGTCCATAGTTTATCACAGGGTGAGAGCCCTCCTGCTTGCTTATCATTAAACTCAGGCACAAAATTAAGAAAGGCCATGTGTATGTAGGCATCAGTTTACACTCAACTGGAAATTTCAAAATGAAACATTTTGCTTTGAACGATGGGAATTATCTGTTGTTTTCAAGATGGGTTCACGGCTCCCTCACGTATGGGAGAACAGCATTCATGAGACAATGTAACAGGAAAATCAGACACTCCCAGTTTGACAACAAGAGCTTCTCTTCACTGCCATTATGTGATGGACTCTATTTTTGCTTTTATAGCTTTCTCTCATTTTAAAGTGGACATTTAGATTGTGAGGTACTTTTCAAAACGAAGTTACAGTCTCTCAGGCTGGAAATGAAGCCAGCGTGGATGTGCCAAAACATTTATTCACATTTATCGAGGGTGTCTCCAAACAAGTTAAGGGTTGGCTGGTTTCAAAAACCCGACTTTATAGTGGGAGTCAACATCTTACAGCGTCATGCAAAGAACAGTTTGGCTCGTCACGCTCATCTCCCAAATTCAAGATTTGCTGTGATTCATTTTCATTAAATGCACATGCTTAGCTTCTGTGTCTTGTAGTGTTGTAGCTCATTTTAATGACCACTGTATACCACAAGTTATCTGCTAAGCTTCACAGCAAGCATGTATGTTGTTAAACCCTGATTCTAAGCTTGTGTTGTTGGTGCACTAAATTAATTTTACCACCTTAGTTGTGTTACTGCATAAGCCCAACATATGAGAGATCTGCACTCCAAATCTATGAGTGAATGGATGAATGTAACAGCTAAGAAGAGGTAAAGTCTGCTGCAGGCATGATTGCTCAGTTGGTTTTCACCACCAAAGTACACTGCCAGCCAAAGTGAAAGCAACGTTGCTGATCAATGAGAACCTCTATGAATTTAACCCCCAGCTGCTCATTTTAACACTTAAAAAAAGCAGTTTAGAGACTTCAATTAAGGAGTGATTGCTGCAAATTAGGACTCGAAAATCACATTGAATGGTCCAAAAAACATGAACTAACAAAAACAAAATGTCAGTAACATCCTGATGAAGGAAAAAATAGGTGCTTCTCTATGCCTCAATAAGTGCACTTTACCAGCAAAACCAATCTTCTGAAAGGAAATGTTCTTGGCCCCCATACTCACAGAGTTTGACCTCCAGCTTTCACTATTAAGAGCACACAGTTATTGGAAACACACTGTATAACATCATGCAGATACACAATAGACTGTTATAAAATGGTAAAGCTCCAATACCATATTTTCTGGAAATAATAAAACATACAGTGAGGTCTAACAGTCCCTCCTCCTCCTAAGTAAATGTAATTCCCTGGTTGTTGATTCAGCCTCCCCATCTATAGTCTACTCAAAGAAAAGATATGCTGTGAAATGCATGAAAGACAGTGTGTTTTATGAAGGCCATAATCCTGACAGACTGTGCAAAAACACCTGGGGCCTTATGTATCAACACTTGCGTGGGACTCATACCAGAAACGAGCGCACGCAAGGTCCGTCACGCTGAAAAAAATCCGTATGTATCAAGGTGTGCGGGCGCCGAAATCCATGTGCGTTTCCTTGATAAATCCCAATCAGCGTGGAATTGAGCGCAGATGTCGGAGTGACTGGGCCCGCCCCCGTTACGCCCTCCTATAAATATGCAGATTTATTTAAATAGGGTCTCCCTGTCCTCGCACACAGACAAAATGACAAGAAAAACTAAATTTACGGCGTGCGAGGTGGAGGTGCTGGTGGCGGAGGTGGAGGAGCGACAGCGTGTTTTGTTTGGCAGCCTGTCCAGTGGCGTCAGTGCAAAACGAAAACGCTTGGAGTGGGAGAAAGTTTGCGAGAGGGTGAATGCGGTGGGTTCCGAGACACGCACCCCCGCGGAGATTAAAAAAAAGTGGTCGGACCTCAAGGTGGAGGTCAAGCGGCGTACAGCTGCCCTCCGGAGGAGTACCGGCCAGACAGGTGGGGGTCCGGGGGAGGAGACCCTCACACCGTTTGAGCAGCGGGTGGTGGTGATTATTATTATAGGGTAAGTGGCGTGTCACACAAATGTCCACATGCTTTGCCATCCCACTGAGCAAAAGACGTATATTAGACGTCTAGTCTAAGTTTATACTTCATTTCAACGTCGGGATTCAGTCTATTTTTAGACGTGATTTATACTTCGCCCTTAACTTCATTTTTCAATAACTTTTTATGCAATAAACAACTGTAATGTGCATAACTGACCTCGAAATACTGGATTACATTACCTATGATACCGTGGAGAGAGATGTAAACGCAACAGATACACAGAAGCAGGAATTGAAATGAACCAATATTTTTATTGTGTCACAGAAATCAATATGTCGGCCGTGTCGCCGGCTTGCGGAACCCCGGCCCGCGGCAGCCCGTCCGCCGGCTCGGAGTCGTCGGCCAGGACCAGCGGCATTCGGGCCACCCCGGCTCCTGGCCCCAGCACCAGCACCAGCGCGCCGACAAGCGGTGGAGCGTCCACCAGCCGCGGCGCTTCCGCTGGACCACCCGGACGCAGTGGAAGGGTCCTCGCGGAGGGGGTCCTGCAATCGCAGGAAGAAATCATCAGGGGGATCGCGGGGATCAACGAGCGGCTGGACCGGCTCGTAAATGTCCTCGAGGGTCTGGTGGAGAAAATAAATTAATTTGGCTCATTGAACTGTGTATTCACTTCTTACCCATTCACACTGTGGCGATGAGATTCTCCCGCGTGAGGACGGCGGCATCCCTCCGTCTGCTGCTGGTTCGTCATGTGGGGCGACGTGCTGCTTGGCCACGGGGATGTGGTGCACGCTTGTCACATAGTGAGTCACCAAACACCGCCACACAGCGTCGCCAAAGTGCGAATCACAGTCAACGCAAGTATCTGCTTAACGCCAATTTCTACACCACCTCCTGACTTTGCGTTGATTAGCGCTGGAACCGACGCTCGTTTCGCGATGATAAATCTGGACGTGTGCGCCGATTTTGGCGTACGCAAGGTTTTCTTGCGCCGCAAGCGTTGATACATAAGGCCCCTGGATTTTTATTTAGACAACCACTGAATCTCAATTTACAAGCACACGGGTCAAATTTGATGAACAAATGTGGGAATGCACCTGTGTTTCTGGAAGTAGAAAGAGTCTCGGGTTCATTAAAGCAAAGGAACCATGTGTGATTGTCGCTATGTTCCCAGACACCTATCACTTATACCTGCCCCCTTAGTTACTGTTGCTAACTCGGACAATCAATCAGAGCTGAACGGGGGCTTTACAATGGCCCCTGCCGGTGTCAAAACACTACCCCAAGAGGGTCTCTACAAATCCTGGGCACAGAGAGACCTGATTTCTTCGAGAAGTCTTCAGGTAGGACTGCCATGGAGGGATATGTCCAGAATTTAAAATTAGAGAGAACACAGTTAAGTTGGAGGCAAGGGTGTACCGATCCCAATGCAAGCTGGAGAAGCCTTATCTCACAGTCGCCACGATTGCAAATTACAACATCCAAGTCCAACACTGTTTGTGTAACACAGGGTAAGATTAAATGAATTTACCTTTAATCATTTAAACTAATCCGGAGAGGTTCTGAGTGTTACAGTCAATCAGCTAGTGTGCTTACCTGAGCTAAGATAAGCGTTAGCTAATTTACCAGAGGCGAAAGCTCTGTTACTACATCGCTAATGACAGATTAAATCACTGTCGTAAAGTTAGTAGATTTAAAGCTACGTTGGTGTAACTTACATAAGAACAAAGATAGACATCCTTGTTGATCTTCTGGACATCAAGTTGGCTGTGTGGTCTGCCACACAACTTAATCCATAGCAGACATTCACTTCGGTCTTTCTTTGGTTTTGGAAATGAAATGAAATACACCCCATTGCCCATCCTGTTGGGATACCTTGTGTCAGTATTACATCTACCCCATGCACACCTTTGTACCATGTTTCTTTCTGTTATTTTAAAATTAACGCCATAGAACAGATGAAAAATCTAACTTCTAATGTTTCTCTATAGAGCTGAAAGCTAAAGATGTCCTCATTCTGGTCCCAGTGCAACTGATACTAAACTGCCATTGGCTCATCAGCGTTTGAGGGGTGGGGCTTAGCAATAGGTCAATTACTCCAGTAACTTACTTTGAACCAAAGCTACCTCTGTTTTTGGAACAAGCTTGATATGTCCCTTTTTTTTCTCTGGTTCTCCTGACCATCCCTCTCCAAAACCAAAAGGGTTACCCTTCGTTTTGAGGTTAGCAGACTCAGGGTTTGCACTAAATCTGCTTTCTGAGTTGGGTCTCAGAGGATATGAAAGTTCAAAGTCTCTCCAGTTCGTTTCTGAGAATACCATCATCATAACCCTCTGCAGAAATGTCAAGTAATATATCTGTGATTAAGACTGAGCAATGTAAAATTATTAACAGGAAGAGATTTAGTAGACATGCTTGCAGGAATGAAGGTGTTGCAGCTGCAACCCTAATGAGCAGATGAGTGAACAGTTTATTTTACCAACCCTGCTGAATTTACAGTCTCCATATGTTTCATTTTGTGTCCACTGTTTTTACAGCTCATTTGTTTGCTGAAAGATAAGACCTTTTGATACGGTCCTCTTGTACCATAGGTGGATGATTTTATATCCATGCACAGCTGTACATAATTAGACTGACTGTTACTTATTTACTGAATGGTAACATGGATTTACCACATCATAGGATTCATGTTTTCACACCTACTGTAGGTTTGCAGCTTGGGTTTGCAAGATATCTGAATTTACATTGAACAACAAGTCCAACCGTGGACCAACACAAATCAGCTCTTGTCTTTGTCATTTGAGACTGGGTACTATATCACTCCATAAATATAGAAAGAAACCTTGAAACAGGATGGATGAGGCATCAGGGTCAACAAAAGCTGCTGTAAGAAGAGTTTCAGTACACATCAGATTTTACATTTACATTCTCAGCCCAGGTAGATATTTCTCTTTGTTGTCAATCAGGTCCCCTTGGCTTAATGAAGAAGGATAATACTTCCCGAAGAGTCTTTCTTGCTCATCATAGCATTTACAGACCTTTTGATCCTTGGATTTAAAAAGCATGATGCAATAAATCAGCGTGGAAATGACTATTGCATAGGAATAGAGCTCTTGCTCATGTGTGACAGTCTTGGACCCCTTCCCCTTCTCCTGTCACAGCTGCTTGATTCAAGTCTTATCTGCTGTTTGAATGCTCCTGCTTTTGCAGTAACATTGGCAGTGTCCTGTCTTAGACATAGTAAACATGACCAATGCCGTCCCTTTGTTCAGCGTGTCAGAACAGACTTCCAAGAGGCACCCGTGTACGACACAGCACGCTGTCTGTCCATGTCTACCATCTGTTAGTGGTATGTCTGACAACAAAGATTTAACTCCTCACTAAAGTCCAAATAATCTCTTGTTAACATTATGAAGGTCAGTATTGAGGAGTCGTTGGACACAGCAGTCTCTGATCTTCCTTTTCGCAGCGTTTTTAAAGTTCACCATAACAGCAGGAGTCCATAAAAGTGGAAACTAGATCTTGCTGTGAGTCATCATTGCAGACAGCCAATCTTACACACTGAGGGCAGATTCAGCTGCTAGGTGTTGTGCAACCCTTTCTGTCATATTTTCCTGGCTGGTAACTAACAAGCACACCTGTATCCTTCTATTTGTCTTGCTTGTTGTCACCTTATCCGTGTTCAGGGAGGAGGGACGTCTCCAATTTTGAGTAGTTCATCATTATCTATGGTCCTCCTCACACCATGGTTCACACTGTAGGAAGCGATTGTCTGGAGTTTTCACAGTTCTTCCTCGTCAGCACTTACCCTTACACAATTACATCTGGTATGGTTAACAGAGGAAAGTTCTTCTTCAGAATGAGAGTCTGGAGTATTTTATATTTACTAGTCTGGATTGCTGAGGGGAGGTTGCGTTAAGACTCGGAGGTGGCATTTTCGGATGTCGGTTGAAGAAATTTCTCTTTTGCTGTAAGAAAAAAATGCAAGACAAAGTTACCAATAGAAAAAAAAAAGTCCTTGTACATTCACATTTCCGGTAAGAGTAAGTGAAACACAAAGTCCCACCTTTTTTTTTTTTTTTTTTTTTTTAGTCAAAGTGTTCTCAGTGGTCTTTAAATTGTGATGGTTCTCATGGTATGTCCTGTAGCATCAGAAAAATGCCATGTAGACAACAAGAAAAACCTGATTTTCATCAGAGTGGGTCTTTAACAAGTTTTCTTGGTAAATCCAGAGGGTGTATGCTGTCTGTATTAATTTTGGTGTCCCCTGCATACGAAGCAGTCTTTGCTGATCTTGTCCTCTTTTCTTATCTTATCCTGCTGACTGATGACAATTAAATCATTAATGTAGTTTAACTTTACACGTTGAAATGTTTTCTGTTACTTAAGCTGCTTGATTGACACCTACACCTTGCACTGATCCAAGCATAAAAATGTCAGTGTTAAAAAAAAACACAAGTATTGTCGCTGGTCTTGTTTATTTTAGAATATCATAAAAGGCATCAATATAAAATTCAGCCTATTTCATAAACTTTAACAAACTCTTCACAGGAGCTTTAAGTCATCTGAATCTTATGTGTTGAGGGGTTGGTTCTATCAGTACAAGTGTCATCACTCTAGGTGGGTTCAACTAAAGTAGGCGACTGCTGAAAGAAATATACTTCAAATGTCTGGAAGAACTTCAATAATACAGCATCAAGGCACCAGTCAAAGGGAATTGTGGATATATCAACAACTGACCTACTCTTCAACATTTTTAGGAAGTTGAATCAATATGACCGATGCTTGTGTTTTATTTAAAAGACACCCAATGTGAACTGTAACTTCCAAGTAAGCAGAGACAGGCTCAGAACTCCTTTATTTGTTGAGGGGGATGGAAAATAAAGATGAAGTTTACTGTCTGGCGAAGGGTCAAAAAAGCAACTTAGCCGACTGCATGGCAATAAATACGTT